GCAACAAAAAGCGCGTGAAAAACATCCTCGGTGTGAAAAATATCCTTCGTTCGTCTGTTTTACAACGTACAACGTGCGTACGATTCATCGAACGTCTGTCCAGACTGTAGATTTTGTACAATATACACAACTATTTCACAGCTATAAAATGGTCGTACAACGATATCTATGTAATTCAGACGGAGATTCTTATCCTTTCTTAAACTTGATCAACAATATCGACAGAGTCATAAAGACGCATATCCAGCAAAACGTAGCGACGAAGCCATTGTAAACCGTGGACATGGACACGGACCATCCCCTAGCCAGTATAACTCTCATCGACTCTGTGCTCATCGTGAGAGGCATCGTGTAACTGATAAATCTCAGTAGATCGTGCATCCCTTCGACGGGCCAAATTATCCCACACAACATCACGATAGGTAGAAAAGCGCCCAACGCGAGATAAGTAGCGGTCCTCTCGTTGTCGCATAAACACGCGATGACGAATCCTAAAAACGAACGAATATAGCGATATACACGATAACAGCGACTGCGGATTTTCCACGAAATTATTTGCGAAAAACTTGCGAAAGGAATCGGAAGACGCGTAAAACGTACGTGCGAGAATGCGCGATATCATCGATAAAGTACATAACACGTACAGTACAATACGTCGTAAAAGGCTGTAAAATTGAAACAAATTTTTATCGAGGCTTCTCTCGAATCACGTTTGCAAAAATTTCGAAAAATGTGCGAAAACCCGCAGCAACGATCGTTGGTAGGATTATCAAGACGACTCGTACCGAAACACATTCCACACAATCCGGTAAGGACGGTGAGTAATCCGACCAAACCGATATTACCCTCGCAAGTGATATCGAAAGCTGCGAACGAGACTATCAGAACCATCACCGTTTGGCCTGTCATTATCGTGAATTGCGTTACAACTTGTCCAAAAAGGATTTCCGTCCCGGTGAGACCTGTCGAACATCGATCGATCAAAAATTTATAACAACAATTTCCTGTAACGACGTTCTTACACTCGTGCGATAGCTTTTTACTTACCGGAAACCAAAGATCTTTCGAGGAGACCTTCGTTTCTTTCCATCAACATGGCACCGGAAGTCAGTGCAACCGACAAGAAGAAAATTATCCTGCAACAGAGAAACTTCACTGTCGAGAGAAAACTGCAAAGTCGTTGCAACAAGTTCAAACGGCGTTGAGCAATAAATCGTAAGCAATAAAACGTAAGTCAAAAGTTTTACGAAGTTGCAACGCATAGATAGTCGACGATCGTCGACAACGGGAAAGAAAGTCGTCACCCAGTGAGACGAATACTAACGTTAGAATAATACCGGGTGCCGCAAAGTCGGTAAAATTTGGTTCCATAGGGCCGTATATCGGCTGCTCGAACTGCAAATGGAAAAATTATTCGTACGTTTCACGAATGTACATTCGTCGCGCACGATACGTGTCCCCCAGTATCGTTCCTTCTTTTCGACTTTAACTTACGCGCATCGGTATATTCACTATTTTCTTGTTGTAATTGCAAATCTCTGACGTTTCTTCGGCAAATGCTGCGTAGGAGTTGTATATCTTTCTCAGCAGAAGGTAGCCAATTTGCTGATCTGAGAAAGAAAAAAATTCTCTTTTCTCTCTTTCGTCTCGCAATTCGTCCGACAATCATCGTTTCGGAGGAAATCATTTCAAGATATACGGACACACGCGATACGTGTAAAAATACAGAAAATATCCAAAGTCTAACTTGTCGCAGCACGTAACTGACAAACTTGTATCCAGATGACTTGTATCTTTTTAATCATCTTTCTACGAAAAATATGAAACGGTACGAACGTCCGGAGTCCGACGATCCGACATCGCGCCTGACGACCGTAAGAAATTTCGGACATTACGCTGTTCGAGGGATTCACAGCGATCCGTCGCATCGCAGACCGTTGTTTCTCGATCGTGTCAAGAGACGAAACACTCATCGCGGCCGCGCAGGGTCGATCGATCGAGAGAACTACTCGAAAACCATACTAAAATTTTCGATTTTCGTTGCAAACTCACTAGACATATCCATGGTGATTTCTACGTTGGAGTAATCTATACTCGAATCATCGGCATATTTTCCATCGTTTATTCTTACTTCCAAGGAATCTGTGTAATTCGATGGAAACGTTATGGCGCCCCAAGCATCGCCTTTCTCGACCGCGTCTCTAGCCTCGTCTTCAGTGTCGAACGATACGAGATGCACGCGACTCTTGTCCAAATGTTGTAAAAATCGACAACTTAGCATAGTCCAATTGCAGCCTTCCATCGGCACACAATGTTTCACGTTGCCGTTCAATTCGTAGTTGACCACTGCCATTTTCAGGCCTTCCGGATCTTTGCCAATGGAGATGCAGAATAAAACGATTTGAACGACTGGTAGACCGATGACGAATAACATTATGCTGGAAAGAACAAGAACATTTAGCACAAGTATTTCAAATGCATCTGTTTGTAAGAAATTTCAAGATTTATGTCGTGTGTGTGTGTGTGTGTGTGTGTGCGTGTACAAAGTACAGCAAATCCGTCATAATATTTCAAGCGATAAAAAACGTGTATTCGAGTTGCATCTTCTTTAACGACACGCGGGAAAATTTGAATTTGCATAAATACCTGCAACGTCGACTGCCACGGTGATTAACCGCGACAGGCGTTCTTGTTCTTGTAGAAAAAAAATCTTGGAACGATCGAGACGAGACAAATATCAAGAAAAACTTTAAACGATGCAAACAACTTTAGTCGATACGGTAAAAAAAGTACGTTCTCGTTGCACGTTTATTCCACGCGATGGACGCGATATTTTACAAAAATTAAACGCGTCCACAGACGAAATTCAATTCAAGAAAATTCAGGAAAAAGTTTACAGCGATACGATATAGAAATCTCAAAAAATGTACACCGCCGCGTATCTCGGACAATTTCCATGAAAAATTATCGATCATTTCGACGGTAGTTAATTTGAAGCGTTAATTTGAAAATTGCTCTTGCTCTTTAAACACATTCGAAACGAGCTCTGACTTTCCAACGAATCAACGGCAGACGAACGAAGAGATAAATTCACAAGTTACAAGTTTCGGAATACGTTCGACAACAGGGAAAAGTTTGCAAAAGCTACCGCGAATACGGAGATCGTTCCGACAGCTTCCAGCCTCTTTGGCGTATCGAATTTCCTAATTTTCCAACATTCCACGTTCGCGTCCAAGAATTTCCACCTACCCCACGTTTCGCCACATCCACAGGAAGTTTTTCCACAAAAGTGCTTTCACGTGCATCGGATCGACCACGATCGACCGGTTGGAAGATTCGTCTTCCGGTGGCATATCCGACACCTGTACATCGGACGAATCGGTGTACAAATTAATACGCAAGTAAGAAACGGAACGAAGCAAACAACGATCGAAGCAACAAGTTAAAACGTACGCTCGAACGATCGACGACGATGCTTTTCCTTCGACTGGAAACACTGACGTTGTCGCCGAATTCACCGCTCATTTCGTCACTCGCAGTCTAAAAAAGAAAAAAAAATGGTAAACCAACGAAGCGAAGTTAACCGGAGAGTCAACAATCGGCGAGTTTAATTCACTTGTGAAAAATCGAGGGAAACGGAGAATTTCCTTCGAGCTTGGAAACGAAACTCGCAAGGGATCGACAAGAACGAGAAACCAAGAAGGAAGAAATTCTCCGCAAGAAGCACGAGACTGATTCGAAACGTTGCAAACACTTTGATTCGATCTTCAAATTTCGTAAAATTATCGAGAGCTATACAGGCGGAAGATGCGAGGCAGACGACGGAAAAGAAAATATCAAGCAAGTCCGTGTGTCTTTCCGAGTCTTTTTTTTTTTTTTTTTCGTACGGTCGCGACATTGAAAAATATCGATCGAA